AGAATAATTCAATCATGATCGCGAGCAACTGAGAGCCATTTATTCCAGCAGCCCGAGCATCTGTCACCCGAGTCCAAGCCAAAATCACTTTGTTCCTCGAGATCTGTGCCAATCCATAACATTCTCTCTGCAAACAACACTTCTTTTAGAGAGGGAGGGATGGATAGGTGGGTGGATGGATGGATGGTTGATAGACAAGAGAGAATGGTAGATAGATAGATAGATAGATAGATAGATAGATAGATAGATAGATAGATAGATAGATGTAAATATTTATGATAGATATATAGGTAGATAAAATAGAATGACAGATATAGATAAATAGATAAGAGATAGAAAGATAGACGAGAGATAATGGGAGATAAATATAAATAGATACAGAGATAGATAGATGATAGATAGATAGATAGATAGATAGATAGATAGATAGATAGATAGATAGACAAGCAATAATGGTAGATAAGGATAAATAGATAGCTAGATAGATAGATTTAGTCAAGAAATAATTGTAGAGATTTATGATTAATATACAGATAAACAAGAGATAAGGGGAAAGGAAAGAAAGAAAGAAAAAGAAAGAAAGAAAGAAAGAAAGAAAGAAAGAAAGAAAGAAAGAAAGAAAAGAAAGAAAAGAAAGAAAGAAAGAAAAAGAAGAAAGAAAGAAAGACGCGAAGGGGTATTAATTAATGTTCGTGTAAATGTATAAAAAGCTGATAGCAATAGTCATAGGGTACATAAAGTCATGAAAAGTCAGGAAAGTCATGAAAAGTCAAAAGTGAGTCTATGTATGCGGATAAATAGATAGATAGATAGATAGATAGATAGATAGATAGATAGATAGATAGATAGATAGATAGCTGAAAGAAAGAAAGGTTGACAGTTGACAATTATTAGTAAATATGGTTTCCTGTAAAGAAAGGATATAAGAGATGTGAACATACTGGATGGATAGATAGATAGATAGATAGATAGATAGATAGATAGATAGATAGATAGATAAAACAGTAAGCGAAAGTCATGGTGTTTTATTGGAAGAGAGATGGGTTGGTAGATAAATGATACAAGTGAGAGACTTGCTATACTGACACATAGATAAAGTCAGGGAATCAGAGATCGTTTTCTGCTTGGAAGGGAAAAATTGATAGATGCAACGATTTACCTGGATAGATAGATAGATAGATAGATAGATAGATAGATAGATAGATAGATAGATAGATAGATAATTGAGGAAAAAAAAGATTGACGATTGATTGATTGATTGATTGATTGATTGTAGACAGATGAATACGCGCATGTACGTGGATGGATATATATCTATACAGGTAGACGGGTGGATGGACAGGTGGAGAGATAAATGGCAGACATCCATTGCTGGAGCTCCACAGATCATCGCATTCATTCATCAATGGATTGTTCCATGGGATGGGTATATGAGGGATCCCTGTGCCAGTCTGGAATGGCATCACACTCTCCTTCTCCTCTCTGATCATCCTCAGATTTCTCTGTCACCCTAGCTGTCACTGTGTCACATACACTTCAACTGGGTCTTCTCGGTATTCACAAACAATGCAATAAAAGTTTGTTAAAAAAAGCAATGACTTTGAGCCGGGTGAGCAGAGACTGAGAAGGTCTGATCCCTGAGGACGAATTACAGGCACTGTCTCCACAATACTGACATTCATCCATCATCAGCTGGGTGACCACAGACACTTTCACTGATCTGCAAATGTTCTGAAAGATGTGAGCACAGACAGATCTCTGACTCTCACTAAGGCTCAGGGAGACCCAGGGCAAGACAGATATACCTGAACAGGACAAAAAGACCAATAAAGGACAAACAGACAAGGGCTGGATGGACAGACCAGGGTAGGACAGACAGACCAGTATAGACCAGGAAGACCAGTACAGGACAGGCAGACAAAGACAAGACAGTCAGACTAGTGCAGGACAGGCAGACAAGAACATGACAATCAGACTAGAGCAGGACAGGCAGACAAGGACAGGACAGTCAGACTAGGGCAGCAGACTAGTGCAGGGCATGCAGACCCGTACAGGACAGGTGAACAGGGCAGGCAGGCCAGGACAGGAAAGGCAGACTAGGGCAGGACAGGCAGACAAGAACATGACAATCAGACTAGAGCAGGACAGGCAGACAAGGACAGGACAGTCAGACTAGGGCAGCAGACTAGTGCAGGGCATGCAGACCCGTACAGGACAGGTGAACAGGGCAGGCAGGCCAGGACAGGAAAGGCAGACTAGGGCAGGACAGGCAGACCAGTACAGGACAGGAAGACAAGGACAGGACAGTCAGACTAGTACAGGACAGGCAGACAAGGACAGGACAGTCAGACTAGTGCATGACAGGCAAACAAGGGCAGTCAGACTAGTACAGGGCAGGCAGACAAGGACAGGGGAGGCAAATTTGAGCAGCACAGGCAGACAGAGTAGGACAGATGACCAGTACAGGACAGGGAGACAATGGCAGAAAAGGCAAACAGACAGACCAGGGAATGTCAGGTACACAATGGCAGTAGAGAAGGTACATTGCAATATGGCCAGGCCAAGCTGATCAGGGCAGGACAGACAGACCAGAACAGGCAGATTAAAGCAGTAAAGACAGAACAGAGTAAGGCAGAGGACTAGTGCAGGGCATGCAGACCAGTACATGGCAGGTGAACAGGGCAGGCAGACCATTACAGGAAAGGCAGACCAGGGCAGGACAGGCAGACCAGTACAGGACAGGCAGACCAGTACAGGAAAGGCAGACCAGGGCAGGACAGGCAGACCAGTGCAAGACAGGCACCTCAGTGCTGGACAGTGCTGGACAGGCAGACCGGTACAGGACAGGCAGACCAGGGCAGGACAGGGAGACCAGTGTAGGACAGGCACCCCAGTGCTGGACAGGCAGACCAGGGCAGGACAGGGAGACCAGTGCAGGACAGGCACCCCAGTGCTGGACAGGCAGACCAGTTCTGGGCATGCAGACCAGTACAGGACAGGCAGACCAGTACAGGACAGGCAGACCAGGGCAAGACAGGGAGACCAGTACAGGACAGGTAGACCAGGGTAGGACAGGTAGACCAGTACAGGACAGGCAGACCAGTGCAGGACAGGCAGACCAGTACAGGACAGGCAGACCAACACAGGACAGGCAGACCAGTGCAGGACAGGCAGACCAGTACAGGACAGGCAGACCAGGGTAGGACAGGTAGACCAGTACAGGACAGGGAGACCAGTGCAGGACAGGCAGACCAGTACAGGACAGGCAGACCAGGGTAGGACAGGTAGACCAGTACAGGATAGGCAGACCAGTGCAGGACAGGCAGACCAGTACAGGACAGGCAGACCAGTACAGGACAGGAAGACCAACACAGGACAGGCAGACCAGGGAGACCAGTACAGGACAGGCAGACCAACACAGGACAGGCAGACCAGGCAGACTAGTGCAGGACAGGCAGACCAGTGCAGGACAGGCAGATTGGGAAGGACAGTTAGACAAACACAGCAGGCAGACCAGGGCACGATAGGCAGACCAGTACAGGACAGACAAACAGGACAGTGCAGGCAGACCAGTAAAGCAAGGACAGGACAGGCCTGATTTTTCATACACCAGATCCATTAGATCTTCAGTTAAGAGGTCTGCTAGAGACCAGCTCTGTATCATATCTGTTGGAGTCCAATAACCAGTCCATAGCATTTATTTTAATTATCCAGTACTGCACCTCATTGGAGCGTTTTTTTTTTTCAAGCTTTTTTTTCAGGTGTCTTTGAGCATTTTTACAAGCAGATTTGCAAATATCATAGGCGTTTCAGGTGTTTTTGCTATGGCCAATAGAAACAGCTGCTGTTTGAGCTGAAAGCGCCTGAAAAAAAAAACACTCCAAAAAATGCTCATTCCCACTGTTCAGGTGTTTTCCACTCGAGTCTATGGGGACAAAAAGATCAGATCTGCCTGAAAAGTAGCACAAGTACTTTTTTGAGCCACAGGTGTTTTCCTACAGGTGACAGAGTGCTTAAGTGTGAACAGGGGCTATTGGAAATAATGGAATTTTACTTGTTGAGCGTTTTTGAGTGTTAAAGCTGAAAAACGCTTAAGTGTGAACGGAGTCTAAAAAGGCACAAAAAATAGGTCTAGTGGGATGAGATTGAAAAAGGGAATGTACTAAAAAAAAAACAAAGTGCTGAGAATCCTGACTCTGCGTTAGAACGCATTCCAACTGATCTGAGCGCATTTACACAGCGTTTCTTCTCAGTGTAGGAAAACGATTATTAAATGAGATTCATTATGTAGCAAAAGCGAAGTGATCAGCAAGTTTATTAATTGCTTAACTACAGCAAATTTATGAGTGTGAGAAGGGGCTCGTTTGATTTTATTTAGGTGATAAATTGGTGAGGCCGGGGGTGGGGAGGCTGATGATGACATGTGGATCGTTCTACATTTCCCTCCTCCAGATGATGATGAGGATGAGCAGCATGGAGGATGTACAGAAAACTTCTCCAACACTCAGAGACGTATCGTGTGTCTTGTGGCGCTTTCCTAAAGGCAATATCCTTTTTTTTGGGGGGGGGGGGGGGGTTAATAGCCCTTTCCTCATTTGCTGCCTAATTGAACTATATAAAGCCAATAAGAGGCGAGTTGTAGCAGAGTGAGTGAGTTGGAGTGGCCTGCCGAGTCCATCCCTGGTCCCTCCTCTGTTCCTCCACCTCCTGCTCCTTTCCCCTCTCCCCTCTACTCCTCCTCCTCCTCTCTCCTGTTCCCAGTTGCTGTCATCCTCCTCCTCATTCAGTTCGCTGACTCTGACTTCCCGGATGGCTGTGTAAGTTGGTCACCTCAACCTGATGTCTCCTGGCCTTCCCCATGTGGCTTTTGGTACCCTAGCCTGAGTCACCTTGCCTCCTCCCTAACGCCTCTCCTAGCTCTGGATTTGGGGGTGCCACCTGGAAAACAAGTGCTCAGTCAGCTTTTTTTTTTTGGTTGATGATTCCAGCTGCTGTCAACCATGCCTGAAACTGGACAAGAAAGCAGCACCACCCCAGCCAAGGAGTCCCCCTTCTCCATCAAAAGCCTCCTGACCTGTGAACCTTCCAGAGCAGCCAGGCCACCAAAGGCTCTCTTCACCCCAATCAAGGGGACCTTGGATGGAGCAGCTTTTGCCCTGTCGCCATTGACTGACCTGTCCTTCCCTCGACTGGAGATACCTACCCAGAGGTTCGCCTTACCTGCACATTACCTGGAGAGATCCCCAGCTTGGTGGTACTCGTACACCTTGACCCATGGAGGACACACACACAGGACAGAAGGTAGGGGCTCCCTCATGGACCACCATGAAGTTTGGGAAGGGGTTATCTAGACACCTACTTTATAACTTTTGAACATACATACCACCATGGCTTGCAGGTAGCAGTTGCTATTCAAGTCCTGGGACTTTTAGTTCTACTAAAAAATATAGATGACCATCGAGGAACATTCAGTTTTTTTTTTTGTGCGCAATTGCAACCAAAAATAAAAAAGTGCATGCTAGGGAATTGTTTTAGGATATTTAACACAAGACATGTGGGGAAGCTGAATTTGTCATTTGGAATACTTTTATATTGTAGAAAAGACACTTCAATTAGCAGTGACTGCGATGACTAGACATAGGCTAATGTACTAATGGACAGGTGTATTAATAGGGATCACAGAGCCTTTTGTCGGAATAGTTTGATGGATGAAAAGAGAGATAATTAGATAAATAGGGATCGGAAATTGAACGATTTTGCAGCTCAAATTACCTTTTTTTGGGGGGGGGGGAGCAGATCTACCAATCTCAAATTGAGAACAAATCTAAAAATCATTCGAGAGTGCAAATACATCAATGTCTGCCTTTAACGTTGTATATCAAATGATCTTCTACCAAAAAGAATGAATACAAATACAACACTAGCCAAATAAAGAACGAATTGGCACACAAGGTATCAAATTGCCACTTTTTGTATCCTGGTCTTTATGTTAGCTCCTGGCCAGTATACAAAGGCGGTGATCTGGTGTATGTAAATGTCCAGCTAGCTTGGATAATTGGAGCTTTTTTTTTTTTGTCATTGAATGTAATGATGACAGTGATCATGTTATGGTGACAGTGACTGATGACTCGTTATTGCTTGTCCTCTTTAGTTCCTGAGAAGAGCCTGCTGCTGGGCCCCTCTTCCCCGGTCTCTGGGGGTGAAAGAGACTCTCCAGAGCCCCTCCACAGCCTCAAGCAGGACCTGGATCCCAAAGAGAGCGACTCCAAGAGCCCAGAGGAGATCATCCTAGAGGAGAGCGAACCTGAGGAGTCCAAGAAGGATGAGAGTGGTGAGGACTGGAAGAAGTTGGACGACTCCTCAGACAAGAAGCCCTGCAGGAAGAAGAAGACCCGGACGGTGTTCTCCAGGAGCCAAGTCTTCCAGTTGGAATCCACCTTTGACATGAAGAGGTACCTGAGCAGCTCCGAGAGGGCGGGACTTGCGGCCTCTCTACACCTGACTGAGACCCAGGTGAAGATCTGGTTCCAGAACCGCAGGAACAAATGGAAAAGGCAGCTGGCTGCAGAACTGGAGGCTGCCAACCTCAGCCACGCCGCTGCCCAGAGAATCGTCAGGGTGCCCATCTTGTACCATGAGAACTCCTCCAGCACAGAGAGTGCCAGCTCTGGGGCCAACGTGCCAGTTAGCCAGCCCCTACTGACATTCCCCCATCCTGTCTATTACTCTCACCCTGTAGTCACTTCAGTGCCCTTACTCAGACCAGTGTGAGGATTGGAGGACTCCTTTAATTAAGCTCCAAGGTTAGGGATGGACTCGTGTCAGGAGAAGCCACCTTGGTTGGGTGGAAAGGACAATCCACCAGACACCTAAAGCTGCAGGACTTGAAGAGAACTGGGCCCCTAGGGGCCACGCCAGAGCAGTGGTAAAAAAAAGAGGACACAATACAGGTCTAAACTCACAGCTTCTAAGTGAACAAAGCGCGCAGGTATTTGTCACTCCCCGTATTATTTTTAATTTTTCTTAAAAAAAAGGGCAAATATTAAATATATTTACTGTTCAATTTGCCAAAATAAAATTTAAAAAAAACTTAATCCAATGACAAGAGTCACCCCAAACATGTCCAACTTCAATACTGTAATATTTTTGTTTTCTAAAAAAAAAATATATAAAAAAAAATGAAAAAAAAATTGCATCATTTGTAAAAAAAAATACACATAATTGTTTTGCTCAATTTTGTAACTCCTGTTTCATGTGTTTAATTATTATTAATATTATTATTATTTTTTAACACTGACTTATTTATTATAAAGTCTTTACAGGACAGGTCCATGGTCATATTTTATTCCCAGTTTCCCCTCCTTTTCCAAACGGACATTTTGACTTGAAACAAACTGTACATTTCATTTTTTTTTTGTTTTAATTATTTTATTTGAAAATAACTGTGTTGTAATATATTTCTTGGATTGTGCAATAGGAAAAGGCAATTGTTAGCCCTTCGCTGATTCCCTTGTTATCTGTGAGCATTTACCAATGAATTAAAAAACAAAACAAAACAGTAAATATAAGACTATGACAACATAGAAAACTAATAACATAAATTTGGCAAAAAGTAAAAACATAAGACAAAACGTTAAAAAAAAGAAGAATGACAGGGGTGTGGAACATGAGGGTGTCCTATTCCTTGAGAACTGAAGCTGGGCTTTGTACTAAAGGGACAATCAATGATGTAATTTAAGTTATTTTGTTAATGTACAGTATGTATACATGGTGGGAGTTGGGACTTTCGGTGCTACCTCCAGGATCCTGGCATAGCGCAGGGCACCATCTCCCCTCTTGTATCTGGGACAAAACTGCAACCATTTTCTTTTGGTTTTCTTTTTAAATGAGATATATTTGTAAAAATTAATGTTTGTTGTGAAAATGAAATAAAAATACACTTTCCTTATTCCTTAGTCTCTGTTTGATTCTAGCACGGGGCTGCCCGTTGTGCGCAAAGGTCAGGGCTCTCCAAAATTCTACAGGAGGTGTCTGGGATTCAGCCCCCTTATTTCTGCCTAATTAAATTCAAGATTTTTTTTTTTTTTTATTACAATTTGATTTATGTAATTTAGACAACATAGTGGATGAAAATGTAAACTATCAATAAAGTAAAACGGATCAATAAATTAGTCCTTATTTTTATACTATATTTTTATTATGATTATTGTTATTATTATTATTATTATTAGTGGTGTAGTAGTAGTAGTAGCAGTAATATTAATATTTTCACTATTGTCGTTTTTAGTCTATGGGGTGTGCAATAACTACAAATATGATAATTGTACACCTTGTAGAATTTTCAGCATGTATATAGAACATTTTGCACCTTACCACTCCCGAGCCACCCCACATAAATGTATCCTCGTCTACTCCCTTCAATATTCCTAATTTACTGAGGCGTTGAGTTCAATAGCTGTGCATGCCGAAATTGAAGACATAAAAATATATAAGCCATTAGATCTGAATTTGGAGATGGATTTGAAGTGGAACAGGCGTGCCAGCTACAATTTAACGCATCCAAATAATAATAATAATGAAAAAAATACCATCTGCTGTGAATGAAAGAAACCTTTTCTATTCCACCTTAGACATTTTATTTTTAATAAATGGGGAGGTAAGTAGCTCTGCCCAAAATTCTGTGCTATGAGCCAAAGCCTCAAAATTAAAGGAAAAGGGGAAAGGATACTGTGACTCCAAAGTAATAGATAAAACAATAAGAGCTTCAGATGTCCAACAACAGAATTTTGTGAGTAAATATGAATATATATATATATATAATCATCACAAAAATACCTTTATTCTAATGGCTGTGCCCCAGACCTTTATCCAGAAGTTAAAAGCAAGTGAAATATGCTACCTATTGCCACATTTCCAGGAAGGAACCGATGGCAGATGATGTAAAGATGTAGACATTTTTAGCACTTCACTAGCACCTAACGATTTACTTTAGTATACTTTGAAGAGGTGAGCTTTTTAGGTGCCAAAATAAAAATGGACTTCTACATCCCAATGCAATGCAATACACTGAGCCTAGTTAATAGTTGTTTATGGAATATATGTATATATATATATATATATATATATATATATATATATGTGTGTGTGTGTGGTGTGTTTGTGTGTGTTCCATAAACAACTATTAATTAGGCTCAGTGTATATAGATATATAGATATAAAATATATTATATATATAGATATAGATAGATGGATTAGATTGATAAATAGATGGATAGATAGATAGATAGATAGATAGATAGATAGATAGATAGATAGATTTTTTTTAATCCACAAAACTATTAAACTCCCCTAAAACGGGCAGAGCCCACAAGTCACACCACTCTCTCCCAAAAGGCAACGACTTTAATATTGGATGAGCCTAATATATATATATATATATATATATATATATATATATATAACTTTTTTTAATCCACAAAAAATTGACCTGTCCTAACATCCTAACAGCAAAAAAATCTGGCGCATGGATGACATTTTGTTTCCTCTCCTCAACTTGTGTTTTCTGTACACACTTTAAAAGGTGTACGTGTGTGTGTGTGCAGTTGTCTACAATCCTTGTCCTATTACTCCCAGCAGTTCTAGTAAATACCGGTGCTGTTTTCACGTTGTGTCATCCCCTCTGCTCCTGGCAAAGCATTTGTTATAGCAAAAAAAAAAAAAATGCCATCAATTCTGCTTGATGGAAAAACCCTTGAAATAATTGGAGTGTGTATGTTCTGGTTAAATGTTTTCACAATAGCCCCAAATCTTTTTTAAAAAATGAAAAAAAAAATCAAAGTTTATTTGCAGGGAGTTTGAAATGAAAACCTTGGCATGTGACCTAAATGGAAAAATAAACATTTCGAGTCAAACTATGTCCCCTGTGTGTGTGCTCACAACATTGGGATGCGTCCGTTTGTTTGCAATGGCAACTTTTGTAGAAGTCAGAGAGCGCTCATTAAATTGTGTCAATCCCAAACAAGCGTCAGATCGAACCCAGAGATTCCCATGTTACCAAATCAGAAGAAAATAACTTCTTTATTTGGGGTTTGTGTCTTCTTGACTCAGCCAGTCTTCACTAGTAAAGGGTGAGGATGGTGGAAGGAGGACAGGCTGTGCCTTTGTGGCCTCTCCTGTAGCAAATTGGATTGTTACTTTTAGCGCAGCGCTAGGACACAAAGGCGGTTTATTGCTTCAAACCGGTTCCAGAACTGAACACAGAACAATAAAACAGACCCTGCTCAATCTGCAGATAAACTGTACACTGTATTTATCTACAAATAGCTTTAATTCTTACAGGTGTCCTTTGTGTTAAATAAATGTTGTGAATGACGCTTGTATGTATAAACACAGTTTATAAAAAAAAGAAGATAAAAACGTGAAGAAATAAAGCAGGAGAAGTAGAGATGATGCCCGCAGGAGTCAGGTGAGTCGGGTTTGATCTGACTCCCAGGACTCCTGATAAACACGCGCTGCTCTGCGCCACAAGATGCATCATGACGCTTCCCTTTATCTTCTTGACTTTATTTTATTTGTTCTTTTTATTATTATTTTATTTTTGCTAGCTAAATATTGTAGGATCAGATGCCCAGATTATAAAAAAACAAAACAAAAAAAGTAAGTAAATATTTTAAGATTTCTGATACACCTAGGCGATGCTGTGACATTTTGTGATATCCCATTTATGGAGGAACAATGTACTGGGATAGAGAATCTCATTTACAGAGTAATATTCTGGGATACAGAATCCCATTATTGGGGGGGGCAATGTACTGGGATACGGAATTCCATTTATAGAGGAGCAATGTATTGAGATGCAGAATCCTATTTATGGGGGTGTAATGTATTTGGGATGCAGAACCCCATTTATGGAGGAGCAATGTGTTGGGATATAGAATCTCCTGTATGGAGGAGCAGTGTGTTGGGATATAGAATCTCCTGTATGAAGGAGCAGTGTGATGGGATATAGAATCTCCTGTATGGAGGAGCAGTGTGATGGGATATAGAATCACCTGTATGAAGGAGCAGTGTGATGGGATATAGAATCTCCTGTATGGAGGAGCAGTGTGATGGGATATAGAATCACCTGTATGAAGGAGCAGTGTGATGGGATATAGAATCTCCTGTATGAAGGAGCAGTGTGATGGGATATAGAATCTCCTGTATGGAGGAGCAATATAAGTGTGATGGAATATAGAATCTCCTGTATGGAGGAGCAGTGTGATGGGATATAGAATCTCCTGTATGGAGGAGCAGTGTGATGGGATATAGAATCTCCTGTATGGAGGAGCAATATAATGGAATATAGAATCTCCTGTATGGAGGAGCAGTGTGATGGGATATAGAATCTCCTGTGTGGAAGGAGCAGTGTGATGGGATATAGAATCTCCTGTGTGGAGGAGCAGTGTGATGGGATATAGAATCTCCTGTGTGGAGGAGCAGTGTGATGGGATATAGAATCTCCTGTGTGGAGGAGCAGTGTGATGGGATATAGAATCTCCTGTGTGGAGGAGCAGTGTGTTGGGATATAGAATCTCCTGTGTGGAGGAGCAGTGTGGTGGGATATAGAATCTCCTGTATGGAGGAGCAGTGTGTTGGGATATAGAATCTCCTGTATGGAGGAGCAGTGTGATGGGATATAGAATCTCTTGTATGGCGGAGCAGTGTGATGAGATATAGAATCTCCTGTATGGAGGAGCAGTGTGATGGGATATAGAATCTCCTGTATGGAG